TAATTAGGTATAATTAATTTAATATTAATTATTATCACCATTAATTTTATTTTTCAGTACTATTTATATATTACATTATTTATATGTAATATATTATATTTATAATATAGTATATATATATATAGTAAATTTATTAATTATTTATTAATAAATATCTATAAAAACATTAATAAAAGTATATTTATATTATAAAGAATTTAAAAGTTCGCGCGTGAAATTAACCGGCTGTCGGTAAAAACAGGCATAGTCGCTCAGCTGAAGCGGGCGAATATGAGGAAAACGAAAAATAGGCACACCTACAAGAGTAAGCGCACGCTTTACACTTGTGTGTGTGGCCGTATGGAGGGAGGCGCACGGGCGGCATGGTGGGAGTGGAATTGGTGTGCAGACTGGCACCACTGCCTAAAACAGAATTTTTGTCCTAATTTAAGAGAATTTTTCTGAAAATCTTTTACATTTTCCTTTTCGATTAAGATTTTATTTTTTTATATTTAAAATTATTTTTTTATAAATTTGTGAAAAGAAAAGAAATTTTTTTTAAATGAAATTTTAAAAAATTACAATGTCAATTTTAGTATAACGGAATTATCATTTACAAAATATCTAGCTTTTCTCTTTAATTATATCGTAAGTAAAATATTTTTATTTGAAATTGTAAAATTAACGCACTAACCTGTTAATATAACGATTATTGTTTTAGATTCATTGGTAGAACAATGATTGGATACGAAAAACATTATTAAAATACAGAATTCAAAAGAATTTTAATTTATAATTTTATTAAATTTAATTCTGTTTTAAGTTTATTTAAAAGTATTCACTTTTTTTTACGTACACATTAAATTTTGAAGTGTCAGTTAAGAATGTTAAGATTTTTTACTGCAATGTTTACTTTTCATATTTAAAACTGATTTACCTTTAATGCAAGCAAATATAAAAAGGTTAACTTTTATAAATTTTACCTAAAATTTATATGAGATTATTACTGCTCTTTATCTAAGAAAAATCCTCCTAACCAGAAAAGAATATTTTAGTATCAATATATAAGACAAAAAAGCAGCTGCAAAAGAAGCGGATTCCTCTTAAATTGAGAATTTTTTTTGGGGGTGAATAAATACTTTCTTAAGTTATACAAAAATCGTTATACATTTTTTTGCTTTTTATAGGTTTGAATTCTAGTTCCGATCATACCCACACATTTGACGAATCTGTGGTTATATTATGAAGATACATGTATCAGGATACATTTTAGTGCTACGTAATAAATGAATGAATAAATAAATAAATATATTAATTTCACTGATGTAAATTCTCCGTTATATGCATTAAAAGAATATACTCTGGTTTTTATAAAATGTTTATAAATCTGTTACAGAAAAAATTGTTATTTTTAAAATCCGTAAAAATTTGATTATTTCATCATTAGAGTGGTTTAATGAACCCTTAAATATGAAATGTAATAATTGAAAGTATATATATATTTTGGCACTGATATCGACCATACAGATTTCAAATATACATCAACGAAACATTTTTTTTATCTAGTAAATAGTCTATTTGGGGTATCACAAAGCTCGAGAATTAAAAAATTATAAAAAAAGTGAAATATATTATATAAAATTAAATTTTTGACTCTTTTTATTTTTATATTAAATGAAAGATGACTTTTTATTAGTAACGGAAGGCCGCAATATAGTTAGATTGTATTTCAGTTTTAAAAAAATGTACAAAACCTAACTTGTGATTTCTAAAAACAACTTTTGAAAACTTGAATTATACAACTAGAGGATTTCTTATCTCTTCACAAACTACCGGATGAAAAGTAAAAATTTTAATAAAAAAAAATCATTGACAAAGTAGAGAAAGACATTTACCACTTGAAGATGCAGCTGCATCTTGTTCAAGAGTGTTAAGCTCTTCCATTGTATTGCTTTTCTGAAACAAATAAAGTTATTGTTTTTCTCATAACAATGTTTATCGTTAACATATATAAAGAGTTTCCATGAACATTAAAATACAACATAATTTTTTTATATTAATATATATCAAAAATTGGTTAAAAATACTAAGGAACTGAGATTAACGTGCAGATTATCCTATTATTATTGTGTTATTCCAATAAACTGCAATGAAACCGAATTTCGGCTTAATACCAGTATACATTTACTGCTTACACGTAATATGTTTCAGAAATATTCCAGTAAAAGATGTGGAATATTTTACTGCAATATTCTTAAGGAGTAAGCATGGATTTATTTTTTTAAATTTTATTTTCTGAAAACAATTGTTTACTAGGGGTATAATTTTAAAATAGAATGCCCCATATATTTGGTGGAAAATATTACAAAAATTTAAAACTTGTAATTTTTATATACACAAAAGTAAGGTTCCCTGGCACTTGATATGTGTACAAAAACAAAGTGGTTTTTGTGCACAAAAACCACTTGCACATATCAAGTAATAATTTATTATTTATCACTTTAATAATTAAAATTCTTGTATGAATTAATTGTATAAAGGTTCATTTACCCTCCCAATACTTATTTTTATTAATTTTCATCAATTAAAAGCTGTTTTTTGAAAATTACTCAAAATTTTAGGTAAATCAAATCTGCCAGGGTTGCCCCACTTAATTTACACCTACATTTAAAAAGAAAGAAACGTTTTAACAATTAGATGGGAATAAATAATTAAATACATTAATTTTTACAGATATTGAAAATGTTTGCCACATTGCAAAGAAATCCTGACGTAACAATTTTTATAGATGATAATAATAATGTTGTATGTTGTTGCCAACGTAAGTGTATATATCTATATATAAATTGTATATTAAAACATTAATAATCTTCAATAATTAACATTTATTATTATTTTACAGCTGGAGATTTGAAATGTTTGCTGCCTGTTCAAAACATTATGCCAAACGTTGACACATTGGAGCTGATATTTGATGGACAAATGTACAAATTAAATCTCAAAGAGTACCTTAAGGATTTATTTCCTGGAGATAAGGAATTAGTACAAGCAGATGGTGCAGCTGTACTATTTGAAAATGCAGCAGATAATAAGGCAGAAAAATTCATTTGGCCGCCTAAGGCCACCAAGATGCTGCTTAGTTTATACGCAGAAATGAGGCCGACAGTTGGCACTGCAAAACTTAAAAGCCTGGCAGCAATGTTGAAAAAAATTGCTGCTGAAATTTCTAAAGCAGGAGTTGAAATTACCGCGACTCAAGCGGATAATAAATTCAAAGCAATGACCCGAGCTTACAAAGGAGTTAAGTCCAACAATAAAAAATCTGGCAGGGGGCGTCAAACCTGCTTCTTTCAAGAGGAACTTGATGAACTAATGGGCCATAAGCACAATATTAGACCTCTTGCCATTTTTGATCAAAACTTAAAAACACCGGCATCTTCAGAAGCGGTAGAGAATCCAGACCTTATTGAAAAAAAACACGTATAATTATACGTGTCTATAATTTTTAATATTTAGGAATATATAAATATGGAATATATTTTTGTTTATTAATATATACCTAAATATTATAAAATATTGACAAGTATAACTATACGTATAAATATACGAATAATTATACGTATTATTATACGTATATTTATACCTATAATAGTACGTATAATTTTACGTATAACAATACGTATAATTATACGTATTATTATACGTATAATTATACGTATTATTATACGTATAATTATACTTGTCAATATTTTATAATATTTAGGTATATATTAATAAACAAAAATATATTCCATATTTATATATTCCTAAATATTAAAAATTATAGACACGTACAATTATACGTATAATTATACGTATAATTCTTGTTAAAAATTCGTATGTCTTATTATACGTATAATAATACGTATAATAGTACGTATTATTATACGTATATTTATACGTATTATTATACGTATAATTATACGTGTTTTTTTTCAATAGGGGAGATACAGGAAATGTCAAACGAAACCACCAATTCAAATGTTAAGGAAACTGTGATTCAAAACTCCTTTGCTGATAAAGAAAAAGACGAGTGTCAGCAAGTGAATCCTTAAACGGATGCCAAAATGTTTTAAAAGAAATAATGGTAAATATGGAGCAAAGGAAAGCAGAACGAATGTCCACGCAAACGGAGTTGTTACAAACTCAAAAAGCTTTACTTGAGGAAAAAAGAACATCAAACGAGTTAAAGAGACAGAAAAACAATCTGTTGCTTGAAATGATAAATTTATTAAAAGGTAATAAGTAATTAGAAAATATTAGCAAATTGTCATAGATATATATTTATATTATATTTCATTGAGTTAAAGACTGCAAAAAGCGACGAAGTTTACATATTAGTTATATTTTTGATATGTAATATGAGACAAATGTTTAAAGAAAGTTAAAGGTCATTTTTACATTATATTTTAAGACATTAATATTAGCACATTATCATATATTTTTGTATTATATTTCATTGAGTTAAAGACTGTAAAAAGCGACAAAGTTTACGTATTAGTTATATTTTTGATATGTTATATTAGAGAAATGTTTAATGAAAGTTAAAGGTCATTTTTACATTATATTTTAAGACATTGTTAACTTTGATAAAAATTTTTAAAATATTGTAGGTTTATCTCTCGCAAAATCAAATTTTTATAGATGTTCTTAAATCTTTCAAGATTATAGAAAATTATATTTGTTTCACATTATTTAAAAGCAATAAACTCGATTTGCATATTAAAAATTATGATTGTTTAGCGACAGTTTCAAAATATGAAAATTTGAAAAATGGCGTTGCACTGTTCAGTGCGAGAATGAAAATACATAAAACTTAAAATGGTTTATTCAAGAGAAATATTTTAATGTATCAAAAGTGCCAAAGTGTATTCCAAAAAAAACTTCTTATAAATAATTAATAAATACAATTTTTATCAAATTGTCGTTTTTATTCATATTCATATGTACAATTCAATGCAAATGAAATTACATAATGCAATTTAATTTTGTATAACAAATTGGCGGCATAATTCATCGCGAGGAGCTTTTCCCTCTTCGCTATCATCAAGAATAACTTCGTCGATGTTGACATTTGGCAAAATGTTCACTTCATCTTCTGGATAGGCATCATTAATGGGAGGTTCAAACAGTTGCAAGTCATTTGCGTTTGCCAAATTGTGTAAAACACAACAAGCAACAACAATTTGAACTAAACGAACAATATTTCTTACTTTCATGTGATACAACAGACGAAATCTTTGTTTTAAACAACCAAATGCATTTTCGACCACGACACGACATTGGCTTAATTTCTGATTAAATTTTATTTGAGCTCTTGTTATATTTCCTCGATCTTTGTATGGAACCATTAGATGATTCAAGCAAAGATACGCAGTATCACCCAGCAAGTAACCATTATCTAAAAATTTTAATTATATTATTTTTATATTGATATTCCTAATGTTCATTAGGATTCATTAGGTTCATTAGGAATCATAATTCCTAATATGTACATACCACCGCAAGTGTCACGAAGTTTAGTACTTATTGTCGACTCTCTCAACACTCTAGCATCATGAACCGATCCAGGATATCCAACACAAATGTCAATAATTTTCTTGTTTTCATCTACAACCCCTTGCATTTGAATCGAAAAATATTGTTTTCGATTAATATACGAGTCTTTATCTTCAGCGGGTTTGTCAATTTTAATGTGACTTCCGTCAATGGCACCTGCACGTAGTTTTTCATGTTTCTAACTATTATTTACATAAGTAAATGGTAAATACATAAGTCCTTAAATTAAATACTAACCTACAACACCGGGAAAACCATATTTTGTAAAATAATATTCTTCTTCATATGAAGAGAAGCTCTCGCGGTCGAATTGTAAAATTAATTCCGAGTGGAGGGCCGAATAAATTTTATCTAATTGATTTTTCTCTAGTACTTTTTCTTGTAATTTATTGTACAGAGCACTTATTCTAATGACGAATTCTATTCCGGTTTCGTTTTCTTGTTGGATCGCGCGTTGGATTTTATTATTAATTTGTTGGACGTCGTTTGCATCGCCGAACGTTTTTCTGAATTTGGCTGAGAATTCAGCCCAGGTTTGCCAGGTTGTTCGGAATGTCGCGAACCAAGTGTACGCGGTTTCTGAGAAAGCTTGCGGTAACGTAGTTAGCGCGTCATCGGGATTGATCGCGGATGCGGCTAGTTTCCGTTCGAATTCGTCTAAGAATGCATCAGCATCTAGTTTCCCAGGATATTTTAGTTCCCATGATTTAATTATTTTATGTAAATTGGGCACTGTATTTCTAGGTGCTGGTTGGGGTGGGGCAATGGGGTTAACCATTGGTGGCCGCGAGGGTCTTGTGGCCGGGGGGGAAACAACGTGGATGTTTGTCCAAAATAATCTGGCTGATTATTGAATTGTAGTGTGCGAGTGGGGAAGGATGTTCCAAGAGAAGGGATTCTGAAAATTTATGTGTAAGGTCATTTATTGCGGTATTTGTTTCTTCGCAAAATTTTGTAATTAATTGGAAAGTTTCTGTTCTCAAAGATTTAAATTCGCTGCGGTTTTCTTTGTATAATGTTTGTATTTGTTGCCTTGATTCTAACAAGTGTTGTTCAAACATTTGTTGCATTTGCAATTAAAATTGGTTATTTTGATCAATTTGATTTGCGTTGAAAGATTTTAATTGTTGGCAAATTTCTTTTATTTGAATGAGATTAGTTGGAGTTTTCTTTGATTTTGAAGGTCTACCGCGGGGTGTTTGAAACGCTAATTTAGGCGTTGTTCCAGTTTTAGAGATAGGTGGAATCGAGCTAAGAGTGTCTTGTAACGCACAGTGGGAAAAAAATGACCCTCTGTGGACAAAAATCTACCGACAACACAAATCTTAACCGATTTTAATATTTATTTTTTCTAAATACTCGGAGACGTTTTTCCTGTAACGCACAACTGCGATAAATTTGATTTATTTCAAACTAACCTTAAAAATGATACCTATATATAAAATTACGTTATTAGGATGGTTTAAGAAATAAAAAAATGATTAATTTTGATATAGCAGAGAGTATTGTGAACCCTTTTTGATCACTGAATGCGAATTTGACATTAAAATTGCAAAATTTTAAAATTCAAAATGGCGGGTGCAATATGGCAGGCAATGTTTTATAAAAGTCACCAAATTTACTCGAAAGTTGTTATTCAGGGGTTTTTAAGGTCGCTGGTTACGAATCTGAAGTCTGATTTCAAAAATTCAAAATTGCGGATCCAATATGGCGGATTAAAAAATTAAAAACTCTTTGAATTTGCATGAAAGTTGTTACTTGGAGGTTTTTAGGGTCGCTGATTACGAATCTGAAGTCAAATTTCAAAAATTCAAAATGGCGGATCCAATATGGCGATCAAATTGTTAAAAAGTTATTAATTTTTTATTTTATATCCGCTATTTTGAATTTTGACAATTTAACATCAGATTCGTCATCAGCGACCCCGAAAACCCCCGAGTAACAAGTTTTAAGCAAATCTAGTGAATTTCAAATTTTTTTTGGTCGCCATATTGGATCCACCATTTTGAATTTTGGTAATGTGACATCGGATTCGTAATCAGCGACCCAAAAAACCACCGTGTAACAACTTTCAAGCAAATCCAATTAGTTTTTGATTTTCTTATCCGCCATATTGGATCCGCCCTTTTGAATTTTTGAAATTTGACTTCAGATTCGTAACCAGCGACCTTAAAAACCCCTGAATATAACAACTTTCGAGTGAATTTGGTGACTTTTATAAAACATTGCCTGCCATATTGCATCCGCCATTTTGAATTTTAAAATTTTGCATTTTTAATGTCAAATTCGCATTCAGTGATCAAAAATGGTTCACAATACTCTCTGCTGTATCAAAATTAATCATTTTTCCATTTTTTAAACCATCCTAATAACGTAATTTCATATATAGGTATCATTTTTAGGGTTTCGTGGCTTATGGCCGACACCCTTATAGTTTCACTTTGGCGTCCGTCTGTCCGTAGTATATTTTGGGGCACCACAGCTCCCAAAATCAAATTTTAGGGCACAGATCCCAAATTAAAATTTTGGGGCCCCACAGATCCCAAATTAAACTTTTGGGGCACCAGAGATCCCAAATTCGAATTTTGGGCAAACATAGCTTCCAAATTCGAATTTTGGGTCACCACAGATCCCAAATTCGAATTTTGGGCAAACATAGCTTCCAAATTCGAATTTTGGGGCACCACAGATCCCAAATTCAAATTTTAGGGCACCATAGCTCCCAAATTCAAATTTTGGGGCCCCACAGATCCCAAATCTCCATTTACTGAATGGACATTTTCCCGAATAGACATTACATGAATGGACATTACATGTCCCATTAGTTAACATGCCCCTACAATTGACATGTCCCAGTAGTTGACCTGTCTCAGTAATTAACATGTCCCAATAGTTGACATGTCCCTATAGTTGACATGTCCCAGTAGTTGACATGTCCCTATAGTTGACATGTCTCTATAGTTGACATGTCCAAGAGTTGACATGTCTTAATAGTGGACATTATCGAATGGACATTTTACCTAATGTTTTAGGTAAATTTATAAAATAAATTTTATTATTTATTTTTGATTTTTTTTTTTAATTAAAATTTAAAGCGCCACGAAACCCTAGATGTAGGCGCAATTGCGCCTAGTTCTTTTCCTATTTTTAAGGTTAGTTTGAAATAAATCAAATTTATCGCAGTTGTGCGTTACAGGAAAAACGTCTCCGAGTATTTAGAAAAAATAAATATTAAAATCGGTTAAGATTTGTGTTGTCGGTAGATTTTTGTCCACAGAGGCAGGCAATGTTTTATAAAAGTCACCAAATTTACTCGAAAGTTGTTATTCACGGGTTTTTAAGGTCGCTGGTTACGAATCTAAAGTCTGATTTCAAAAATTCAAAATGGCGGATCCAATATGTCGAATTAAAAAATTAAAAACTCATTGAATTTGCATGAAAGTTGTTACTTGAAGGTTTTTGGGGTCGCTGATTACGAATCTGAAGTCAAATTTTTTAAATTTGAGATGGCAGATCTAATACTAATAATCTAATAATAATATAATACTCTAATCTAATACTATTTTGAATTTTTCTAATTAGACTTCAGATTTGTAATCAGCGACCCCAAAAACCCCCGGGTAACAACTTTCAAGCAAATTCAATGAGTTTTTAATCCGACATATTGGATCCGCCATTTTGAATATTTGAAATCAGACTTCAGATTCGTAACCAGCGACCTTAAAAACCCGTGAATAACAACTTTCGAGTGAATTTGGTGACTTTTATAAAACATTGCCTGCCATATTGCATCCGCCATTTTGAATTTTAAAATTTTGCAATTTTAATGTCAAATTCGCATTCAGTGATCGAAAAGGGTTCACAATACTCTCTGCTATATCAAAATTAATCAGTTTTTTATTTTTTAAACCATCCGAATAACGTAATTTCATATATAGGTATCATTTTTAAGGTTAGTTTTAAATAAATCAAATTTATCGCAGTTGTGCGTTACACGAAAAACCTCTCCGAGTATTTAAAAAAAAATATTAAAATCGGTTAAGATTTGTGTTGTCGGTAGATTTTTGTCCACAGAGGGTCATTTTTTTCCCACTGTGCGCCGAGTCTGAGACACCGGTCAATGAATACCACAGTTCGAAAGAACCTTCAAACTTAAAGATTCTCAATTCATTTTTCTAAAATAATATTTCATTATAATAATTAATAATAAATTTGTTAATTAATAACAATACTTTATTTATTAATTATAATAAATAACGATTGTAATCAGGAATGACAGTAATACTGAAAATACAAATCTTCATAATTGAATCTATATTCTCTTTACTTATCATTTCCTCTTTACTACACCTTTCGTACATAGTAACCTTGAGAAGGCAAGGCCGATATACGCTCCGCATGTAATACACCTTACTCTTAACAAACCGTACCGCTGTATATTAAGCTGCATACAACCTGCGCTATGAAACCCACAGACAAAATTCAACCCCAACCACCCCTAAAATTTTTCTCCCTATTATTAAAATTTTTTTTTAAATAAATTTTATTATTGATATTAAATATTATTAATATATTTTTTTTTAACAAAAAAAATAATATTTTAAACAAAATAAGGAAAAATAATAACACCAGAGACGATGTTAACTCTTAAGAGGGGAAGGGAGTGAATAATAATTTTAAAAAATTTTTTATACCCATTTTTATTTTAAATTTATTAATATTATTATTAATATTAATATTCTAATTTTTATGTATAATGAATTAATTATCACGTAATTTATTTGTTTATTATATATGGAATAATAATAATAATTATTATTATTATCTATTTTATTGTCACGTCACCGTAACATTTTTTATAAAAATAATAATAATTAATAATAATTAATAAATAAATATTTATATAAAATAAATTCTTTTATAAATAAATATATTTGTAAATAAATAATTGTTCTTTAATAAACAAATATTTGTAAACAAATATTTGTGGATAAACAATTGTTTATAAATAAACAAATATATTTATAAATAAACAAATATATAATCATGTCACCGTCACATTTTTTTATAATAAATAATAATTGTTGTTAATAATTAATTTTAATAAAATAAATATTCTTGTAATATTAAATTATAAATGAGCGTTTATAAATAAACAAATATTTGTAAACAAATATTTGCAAATAACAAATGTATTTATAAACAAAAATAATTGTTATCAAAACTAAATGTATAGACAGAAATAATCAATGTAAATCAATATGTAAAATTATTATATTTCATAAAGGTGTGATGTTCTTAATATTTAAAATTAGAAAAGACGATCTAAAAAACCAGGAAATCTATTATGGAGTCACCACTACTAAAAGAAAAAGCAATAAAGATTTTTCGTGTCTGTGAGGTCCCGACATTGAATCTACCCATAGAGGCGAACTGGTCCCGCTGCGAGAAATACATTGGAAAATATTACTATATAATGGGAGACCTTTCACTAACAAGGCAGTCCCAAATTATACGTAAAAAGATCATAGTATCGAGTCCCAAAATATATATACAAAAAGTTCTTCATAACAAGTGTAAAATACAGTTTTAAAGTGTTGTCATCCGTTAAAAGGTTTCCAGTAATAAAATCTTAAATTACCTCAATAGAAGATCAAAGTCAGGTGCCAAGAAACGAAGATTGGGAAACTCCGCCACCACAAATAAAAAGGTAGTTTTACCAAATCAAATTAAATAGATTTTTCTAAAATATTTGATTGTCAATTAAGAACATTTACA